CTTAATTTTATCCTTTTTGTAGTGTAAACTTTATAAGTATAAAAATAAAGATGTCAGACAAATTATATAGAATGGGTGATCATTTGGTAAGCAATTTGTTTTATACCTTTGTTGTGGTCTGTGTTGATTGAGGCTATTTTGGCAATAGTCATGCACTTAAACATAGCATGACCCAGTCCATATGTGGACTGCCTATGTCTATTAAACATGATTGAATACTCAAAATAGATTAATTCAAGATTATGATATGTCCCAGGCATGGATCCAAAAAATGGCCATGTACTGAAGAAATATGGCATGACCCATGTAAAATATGGTGGAAAACATACAATTGGGGCTGCATCCCACCATAATGCACTAGTCATTGAAACCCCGATCCCTGGGATAGGGCGGGGAAATTAACATTTTGACAATGTTAAATTTTGGACATTTCCCCGCTACCGGGAGAATATTGACTGTTAAAATTACTGTCCCTACTATGGCCCCAGCACTTTGCAAATTTTCATGACTTGGGAAATTTTCATGACTTGGGAATTGTCCTGGCTAATAAATTGACTTGTTATGTACCCTGTACCCCAGGGCAAATGCTGCATTAAGACTGTGTTAATCCACTGCCATTCCCCCATTAATTCCTCGCCCTGTCCCTGGGGTCGAGGGACCGGGGTTTCAATTGACTAGTGTATAAACATTGCAAAGGTCTATTTTGTAAATTAATGGCACTATGTATGTAATCTTAATTTATAGGGCCTGTGAGTTCATATCTGGAGTAAACTAATGGCAGATCTATAGAAATATCACTGCCAAGGAGTGTCAAACAAGTTCAGAAGGACTGAAACTGGATGTTCTCAGGATGAAAAAGAAATTGTTGACTTTAATTGAATAATCATTATCATTAATGTAAGGTTAAAAATATTGAACTTTTAAAAGGATGCAGACAGACAATTGATACTCTAATTTATTCTTCTTCAGCCAATAACACCATTTAGTTTGCTAATACATTGTTTATTGTGTATAAGGTTTGCCATTTGAGTGATCCAGGTATGGGGTTGGCCCTCTGGCTAAATCAATTGAGGTAGATCCCTTTATTTCAAGTTAAATGATGATTTGAATAAGATGCCTTTAGGCCCATAGAGATTATAAATAAGTAATCTTAATTCAGTAAAAAAAGGGAACACAGCTATTGGGG